TATCGGATTCTTCTGATCGTGGATTGTCCCATTTGCAAAGTGCGAATGAGACCTACGCGCGTACATTTCTTATCACAGAGAAGGAGTGGGCGTGGCTACGTAACTCATTGAAACGCGACGGCTGTTGCGCTTTTGGAGGAATGCTGCCGTTTTAGAACAAGTGTAATCAAGTCTTTGTTAGGCACAAGGCAATACGATAGTTGTTTCAAATGGAAATAGCCATGAAAAGCACATCCCACGCAGTGTTCAAGTGAAATACGCAGTCACGCCCTTCCCAGATATGGGGTACATCTACTTGACCAACACCATTAGCAATAATAGTACATCCTCCTTTAATTATGTTCTTTAAAAGTATTTGCCAAAAAGTTTGCGAGGGCCGGAATATTATTGAGATTTAAGGTTCTGCTTTCGAAAGCTGCTTTGCTAGCAAAAGAGAGCATTGTTTGTGGAGTGACACACAAAGAGATGATTGAAAGTGAGTTACTGCTTTTCTTTGCCTACCAAGTGAACAAAATTGCTGATTATACACACCTTAGAAAAGTCCTTATGGGAGCTGATCGAGCCGATCTCCGTCAGAGCCCGAGCAGTTGAAGAATTCGTTTACGATGTTGCTGATACAGTCGTTTGTATTGCCGAAGCGATTGAGGATCCTTTTGGTCCTTCTACCCGGATACCAGATCTAGAAGTGGGTAGTTTATTGGGATCTAGGTTTTTGTTTGATCGATAAGTGCAAATAATAACGAGTAAAATAAGTAATTTCACAGAAGCATTTCATATTTACCGAACAAATCGGCGTAGTTTATTTCAGGGGGGGGCATTGGTGCTTTAGCTACTTCTCATAGTCGTGTTCATTGCTTGACAAGAATTGACAGGAATTCTTCACAGAAGTTGACAAGTAGTCTCGGGAAACTTTGACTGGTATCATTTTATAGCTTTACAAAATTTCACAAATTTCGGTGCTAACGTAGTTGGGAGGGGCCATCGTTTGTATTTTAGGCAAAATCTTCCAGCCTACAACTGTTTCTTCGCACTTTTCAGCCTTAACTGTTTTAGCTTTTGAATATAGCTAGGACGGTGTTATATCCATGTCCTAAACATGAAATTACTTCTTTTTGCCGAGGAGAAAGCAGAAGAGTCGATGAGTCATCACTCGCCGCGAGCCGCGTGGCCCCTCCCAACTACGTTAGCACCAGTGCACCCCTCCCTAACATCCGCGCTACTGTGCCAACGCAAGTTCATACAGACAAGTATATTCATCACTAGGAAGCCGTATGGTGTTAAGGCGTCTGTTGTGAAGTAGGAGACATCAAAGAGGAGAACGTGAACGTGTTAAGGCAGGTTTTGCCTTTTTTCTGTTTCGGTCTTATCTCAGCTTCTGTTTATGGCACGTGTCCGTGAAGTGTTTGAGCATTACGGAAGCGCATCGTTTGTTCGATATGATTTCCGGAACTGGTCCTATTATCAGTGCCGATCACTGTTCATTTGCGTCATCTGATTGTGTTCTGGTTATCTTTCAGGAAAAGAACTTGTCCCGGTTGGATATGGTTACGATTGATCTCTTGGAGGCATACGATGAGGTGCTTAAGGAAACAAAAATAAGTTCCTCAAGTCGACGGAGGTATGCGAGTATAGTTCTTCTCTCGTATTTGTCTCTTTTTCTTGATTCTTGATAATTACTTAAACTTTTCTCAAAACTTGTAGATTTTGATGGGGTAAGTGGCTCGTTCTTGTATTCTCTAGTAAGTTGGTTGCGCTGCAAAGAGGTTACATTGGAAGAAGATTAGAAACCACCTTTTCCTTTTCTGCTCCTTTTACTTTTCCTGCTTTCTTCTTTTTCAGTCACCTGAAATTATAGAGCCAGTGGAACGTCACTATGTACCCTTTACTGCGCACTTCGCCAGTTCTTCGAATTCAGGCCACCTTTCGATCAAACAAATTCCTAGCAGTAGCTTCGGCCAGAGCGGTGCCCCGGGAGTTATCCTGACCGTCGAGCACTTATACTGGATCCACTGGAATGAAACGCCAGGCGCCAGACTCACAGACCGGGTTCTTCCTGTTGTCACTAGCGCCAGGTCAATAGCGGCCAAGCGTATTTCAGAGGTCAAACTACTTCAGGAGACGGGATTCCAGCCAACCCTGAAAACGCAAAAGACTTCGCTCATGGTCTTAACTGGCTTTGAAGGGTAGCGCAGTAAAGAATTAATGAACCAGCTTTAAGTATGCATTTCTATAGGGTTGATATGTTTCATGGAATGCTTTCAGCAATCGAATACACGCTCCACTAGAATTGTTTCCAGAGACGATCTCGGCAAATTGTTAAAGCCCCCCACTCCACATCCTGAACGACCAGCACGGCCTTACGTTATTGGATTATGTGGCGGTATCGCTTCAGGAAAAAGCAACATCGCCAAAATATTACGAGAACAGCCCGGATTCGAGGTAATTGAAGTTTATGCGCTTTTTCACTTTGGGCAGGATATATTCGAGATTTTCCGAGATCTTCAAGCCTTTGCCAATTTGGGTGACCACCTGGGTTAGGGTAATGCGCTCCTTTTCTGCTTTCAATTTGTAGACCTTTCTTGAGATATATGGGCATAACGATTCTCGTTAATTGTTTTAGTATCCTGTGAATCCTATAACTATCTTATTCCTGGGTATGAGACGAATTTGTATGCTAGGTCGCAGTCGCGCGCGCGATAACGCCCGCGAAAAGTTTCCAGACCCAGCTACTGCATTTTTTCTTTTTTTTGCATATCATGGTGTTTTTTTTATTTCAATCATTTTTTAATTTTGGATCCATGGAACAATTGAAAGAACAATTAAAATGCGTGAACAGAAAGCGAGAAAATGACCTTCGCGGTGTTAGAAGGGAAGGTGTATCCTATACAGGGCTGTTCTTTAATCTGAGCCAGTAGGGTTTCTACAGTAGTTATAGGTGTTTCACATAAGGAGAACCTAGAATTTCTGTGCTTCGATCAAGATTTTGACCAGATTTCGGAAAACATTTTTTCTCATTTTTCTCAGCACCGTTACATTTCATTGGAAAAAAGCAATGAAGTTGGTTTCCACGATTTTTTTGTGACATTGAAACTGCGAAGACGACCATGATCTGTGCTGCAGGTGATCGACTGTGACAAATTAGCCCACAAGTGCTATGAACCAGGAAGCGAACTCATTGAGGAGATCGACAAGCATTTCGAAGGTGTGGTCAAAGATGGAGTTGTTGACAGGAAAGCTTTAGGAAAACTCGTTTTTGGTAACGAAGTAAGTCGCACTGATGTTGATGTTGTTGTTGTTGTTGCTTGTGTCTATTCGCCTTCATAGTCTCTGGTTTTTCAGGAAAAACTTCGAACATTGTCCGGATTAGTATGGCCAGTTTTGTTGAAGAAAGTCGAAGCGATTATTGCAGCTTCAAAAAGTGAAGTTATTGGTACGTTCCAGTGTTAATTTTGATGAAACATTGCAATACTTGTGCAATTTCTTCGGAGCGTTACTTGCCGCATCCCGACTTAAGGGGCGTTCTGTACTTCGCTAGTCCCCTACGTTACTTCATGTCACATAGAAGGCCTCACTCTGTTCGGCTTTGTGAACTTCTATGAAGCTGCGAAAATATTCAAGCATTTTGGTCAAGGGAATTTACAGGTGTACACCATGTGCCTTGTACAACCTGTGCTTTGTAGCATTTGATGCCCCACCAAGCGCCGGACTGTGCCTAATTGTTTTTGGGATTAAGCCACCATCGTGTCTCAATTTGAAAACCTTGAAGCCTTTCTCAGTTGCACATTTTTTTTTTTTTTGACATACGGATCTAGGATGTATGTCATAATACTCACAGACAAGTGACCTTGATAAACTGACCCCAGAGCGATGGTAGGCTTGCTTGTGTCGGCCTGGACCGAATCTGGAATTCTACCTCCGAACCGCTCTAAGGTAAGCGGCGCCATATACCACTACACCACCTCCGTCAGGGATACAATTTAGGATAGAGAAAAGTTTAGTATTGAATGTTTTCGCGTTCTCATCATGGTCATCAAAGTAATTTTAGTGATAGAGGCTGCTGCTATTGTGGAAGCACAATGGCATTTGTATATGAATGAGTTGTGGACAGTATTTGTACCACACGAAGAAACGGTGCGGCGGATTATGGAGAGAGATGGACTACCCAAAGAACAGGTCCTTTTTCACTATACAATGATGTTCAAGAATTCCCATATGCTCGCACTGGGTAACGGCCTGGAGATCCTGTCGTGGTGTTCTGCGGAAACTAGGCACAAAATCCCTGCAGGCATGGCTGCACACTTGACTTGAACGTGGTGGTGGCTAAGCTTTTCGTAAGATATTTCATTTGGGGGCAGTTGTAATCGTGTCCCTTGTCCAACACAGGAAAGGGAGACCAGGATAATAAGTTGTCTTAATTTGAAATATGCCGCAAGTAATCCATCCAATGCCGTGTTAAAATAACGCATACTCCGTCTCAGAGAAAGGTAGTATAGCTGCTGTTTTCTAGCTAGTTGACTCGGCATGCTAAAACACTCCGCTTCAGGTCATTCAGGTTCTTCGCAATTGTCGACGCCATTCGTAACGAGTTCTCCTAACTGACATCTTATTTGTTCCGTTCAGCGCTGTAAACTGCGCATTTCCCCTCTAAAATTGGGATACTTGGATTCTCTTTTCCTGAATATTCAGTAAAGTAAAGAAAGACTCATCTGGGAAGTTAACCCCACTAAAATTATTGGTTGTCGGGAATGATGTGCTAACTGTGAGCCACACCACGGCACTTGACTTTGGGTACGTGACAAGAGAATCGTAATTCGTCGCGCTGGTGGGCGTCGCGTGCGAGTCGCGCCCACAAATGATGGTTTCACTCGTGGAGCGACAATAGGCAATGTAGAACCAATCGTCATGAATTCTACAGTTTCTTCTTGGCCCATGTGAAATTCGGTACTCCAGACGACAGCTAAACGCAAAACGGACAGTCGCTCCCATCGCCGCACGCGGCGGGGCCGCAAATTACGATTCTCTTGCCTGTCTCCCCTTGACCTTAGCGAACTTATTGGCAAGATGAATCCATTTCCATGGATGATGGTCAGGAGATTCGAGTTGCGTTCCAAGTGGAATCACGTGCGTGACATTCGCACCAGGAGCAAGTGGATCTGAGGTGAAAGTGCTATAGCAAGTCGGTAAAACTAGCCAGGAAATACTAGGGAAGTTTGTGCGTGTCGATGCGACTCACTGTTTTTGCATGTTGAGTCAACCAGCTAGGAGATACTAGCTAGTTTGGGCGTGTCGCCCGACGTGGACCTCCCGACTAGTGTATCTACCTATATTTTGTTGGCCTCAGATTCCCACTATTTCAGGCCGAGGTTCGAATAAAGAGTCAGATTACGAACAAAGAACGTATTGATCACAGCAATGTGGTGTTCTGCTCGTTATGGGCATATGAAGAAACTCGTGCCCAAGTTGAACGAGCTCTTGAGGACCTACAGTCACGTCTTTCAGATTCATCTTAGATGTATTTATAAAAGTAATGGGCGCTGTTCGGCTGTTAGGTCTGGGAGGGGCATTGCACATTCGCTAGTTCGTTTTGCTAGTTCATGTAAACTAAGTATACTCTTGTTAAGCTACGAAACGGTTCAAGTAAGCCACTCGATCACAGCATGCACCCGATTTCACAAGATAGCCTCTGCAGGCCTCGCTAAGCACAATTTGATGCTCCCCCCCCTAGACGAACTGCGCCCAGTTATGTAATCTTTCTCCCGACTGTTAATCTCATAGGGACTTGCTTATCTGTGATTTGTAAGGAGGATACGTGCATTATAAAGCTAACGTGTAATTTCTTTTTTATTGAAAACTTTGAATGTTTTAACGCATAAAGAAAAGGATAAAGTATGTTTATTTTAATATGGCGATAACCGTAAAACTTCAAGATCACTGGAAAAAATGTTCAAAATAAATTTTACATCATTCACCGAGGACTACAATGGAAACATACAAATGGCATAAAAATTATTCTGGGTTGTCATCGAGCTTTGGCCTTTTTTCTGGTGTTGCACCGGTCTGTTCCGTGTCGTGTGTGTCGTCATTAGCTTCCTGTGTTGTGGACTCAGGAACTGACTGGGTTTTCTCTTCTGCTTCCTCTTTTTCTTCAGTTCTCTTCTTCTTCTGTTCAGCTTCTGCCTTTTTCTTTTTATCCTCGTCATCATCACTGTCTCCTTTTATATAATTCTCCCATTGTGCTAATCTCCTCTTCCTGTCCTCTTCACTTTCTTCTACTTTATACCTCGTTTTACCATCCCACAGAGCCACTTCTAGCCTAAAAACAAGGTATTCACGGAAAAATGTCGAATGCTGCTACTGAACAAAAAAAAATCACAAACTGGTTGGGTTTCGAGTAAAATAGCGGACGACTGAGTCCTTTCTGTGTATGGAGTCAGCGTTCAGACTTTGCGATACCATTTGCGCTACCATTACAACAATTTCGAATCGAATGACGCTGGCCGTTAGTGCTTGAGAAACGGAGAATAGGAGTTCTTCAAGACGTCGTTGCGGATCTACGTTACAGTCTCGTACTGTATATTCTTCCCCGTGCTCTCTTCACTCATCTATGGCTCCTGTGTCTGTACCATCGGAGCGCTGTTGCCAAAGGTAGCGTGTCGGGACGCATCATCGCGAAGTCTGAACGCTGCACATGGTTCCCAGGTCAACAGCCGCAGCAGCAAGCACTTTCGTCGTTAGAAAATGCGTAGCGACAAAGCCAGAAACTCGTGTTTTTCTCTATAGCACTGATGTTCGCACCGGGAGACGGTAAAGAGGATCGTAATTCGCCGCACCGCCACGCGCGGCGATGGGCGCGGCGTTTTCATAACTCGTTTTAACCTGTCGAATGGAGCACCGGACTTCATGTAGACCCCGTCATCGTAGAGTAGACAGTCATTACTGTTTTCGGTCCTTAATTGCATGTTGTTGCCATCTACTACCTGGAACCATCGTCCTTTGCAGACGAGACGTCGCACGCGACGCCCAGCAGCGCGGCGAATTACGATCCTCTTGTCACATACCCGTTCGCACCCACCATTTGACGGGGGGTATGTGACAAGAGAATCGTAATTCGCCGCGCTGTGGGCGTCGCGTGCGACGTCGCGCCCGCAAATGACGATGGTTCCGTAGATGGCGACAACAGGCAATTCAGAACCGAAAATAGTCATGAATGTCTACGATGACGGGGTCTACATGAAGTCCGGTGCTCCAGTCGACAGGTTAACACGAGTTAAGAAAACGCCGCGCCATCGCCGCGCGCGGCGAGCGGCAAATTACGATTCTCTTGCCCGTCTCCCTTCGACACGCCATACGGACCACGTGACACGCGTTGCTCGGCCGCGCTCTTTCACTAAGATAATGTTCGGTAGCATGAATAACCTGAGAACTCATCTTAGGCTCCCTACGTCTGTCTGAAAGTCTCAGAGGCGGGCCCTCATTGGCCTCAACCATGCCAAAGAACACTATTTAGGTGAGAAGGCGCAGTCGAGCATTAGGTATCAAGCGACTGTATGGCATGTCGAATGGTGGCCAGAGATGCCGGTATACCATCAAGCAATCGCAACCTTCTAGTCTAATCCCTAACCATTTTCAAGCGACGAAAATGGTACACTTCTGTGGCTGCGGACCTACCAGCCCCATATATTGAAGGGCTCATCTTTCAGGTATTCGAACAGTGCGCCTTTATGAGTAAAGCGCCAGAGAATGAGTAACCATGAGTAGGTAAAAGATATAAGTTGAACCGAGCCCCGCTCAGGTCACCTCCCCACTTCTGTGGCTACTTTTCAGGATATTTTGGAAAGTTTCTTTGCAGACGCATCGACAAAAATACAGGAATCGGACAAGACATTCGTAAATTACCGCTACGTCGCACGCGGCGTGCCGTGCGGCGACCCGCTGCACGTTTTCAGAAATCTCAGTTTCAAATGGAGCAGCGAATCTCTATAAATTCATGGGGATTCAAAACCTCTATTGTGGGCGATATCGGATTTCCCGCCCATTTGACAGACAAATTTTACCGCTGGGGAGGACAACTCGTTCGCAGGATGTAACGGCGCTCGCCACGCCCACCAGCACGCCACACCCACGATACGATTGTCTTGTCACATCTCCAAATTTACAAATGGAAAATTTTACTGTAAATTCAAGCAAGCTCACCTTCGTCCATCTACAAGCCTCCCGTTGAGCATTTTGACAGCCATATCCGAAGAATCCGTTGTTTCGAATGTTACTGTAACTACGCCTTCTGGGTTGTTCTGGAAGAAATTACAATAAAACTCAGTGCACTGTGATCAAAATGATAAAAACAGACAAATAGAACTCACATCATAAACGACCACTTTCTTCACAACACCATATTTAGAGCAACTTTGTTGGACTTCCTCTTTCAGATCCAATAATAATGCTGCATTTCTTCTGCATAATATGGATCGATAAA